AAATAAATATTAAAATATTCAATGACCAGTCCATGATTAATCCAATAATTTTGTAGGATAAAATTTACAAATAGTCCCTAAATTATGTTAAAATATTCTTTTAGATGTTAACTTTCAAAGTTAATAATGGTGTTAAACTTTAACTTTTTTTTATAAAATAGATATGACAACTTTAATTTTCATTAAAGGGGTGAAGTGAGATATTTACCCCCTTAACTATAAATAAAGTTTCAGTTTTGATAATTTTCAACATTTTTAATTAATAATTTTAAAAAACATTTTTTAAAATGTATAAAAATTCATAATATTTTTTAAAAATTTTAAAATATTTATAACTTTATGAATTTATAATCATCAAATTATTTTATAAATAATTTTATTTAGTTATGATGAATTTGTAAAATTTATTATTTTTAATTTTTAATATTCAACAATTTCAATTATCAAAAAGCGAGTCATATTTTTTAAAATAATATTATTCAATTATTTAACTTTTGTTTAATAAATTGAAGTATAATTTAAAATGTATTTATAATTTCAAAGTAAATTTTAAAATTCAATATAATTTGAAAATATAGATTTTTATTTTTAGCTTTTGAAATACTTACTCAAAATAAAAAAAAAAATATTGAATGAAAATTTTAATCACAATTGATGGATCAAAGAATATATTTTTATATTAATTTAAAATATCATATCATCCCTTAACGATAATAATGATCGATGCTTATATTAAACTTAATCAATGTTTTATAACTTTAAAAGTTGAATGACCTTAGAATTTTTCTATTTTCAAGCTCATTAAAGCTAAATTACTATCCATCCATATAAAAAGGTTGGTTTGGATGGATAATGAGATTGATTCGAATAGTAAAAATAGTAATGATAGTAAAATTAAGGATAAACTATAGTAATGGTCACTGACTTTTTCGACACTTGCATTTAGGTCCCCAAACTTTTGAAACTTGCAATACAATCCTCTAATATTTAGTTTGTTTACATTATGGTCCCTAACGTAACCAGCCGTTTGACGTCGTTACACTGTCGTTAGAAGAAGATGATGGCAGTCCTCTATCATTTAGTCCGTTGCAAATGTCATTGAACTTTTCAGGCACTTGCATTTAGGTACCCAACTTTTAAAACTTGCAAACACATCCTCAATTACATTCTAAACCCTAAATTCCAAAATAATTTAATTAATTTTAAACCTAAATTCTAGAATACTTTAATTTAGGGTTTAGAATGTAATTGAAGTATTTTGAATTTAGGTTAGAATGTAATTAAAGTGTTTAGGAATTTTGAACATGAATTTTCTATTTGATAGTGTTTACTTCAAAATAAATTTGAGGTTTGTTGCATGCACATCCAACGACTTCCATACTTTGAATATAAAAACCGCACTTACCACATTTATTGCATAAACCGTTGAAGTAAAAGTAACAAGGCCAATTTGTCTTGTTCGCAGCTGCCGCACTTTGGTATGACAATACAGTAGGTTTGGATGGAACTTAAGCAGGCACATCAAACGGCTGCGAAATTAGTAAAGAGTTTTAGTTCACATGACTACAACATACAACCAAGCAATAACTAAAATAAACCAAGAATATCAATTAATAACTCATTCGAAAGGAGGACTTAATAAATAAAGGGAAACAGGTTTGGTCATAGTCACTCCAAAAGCTAAGGCGTCAAATGGGTTGTTTAAGATAAACATTAGATGTCAAATACAACATTACCAGTTACGAATGCATTAATGGCCTACCCATTTAACATATAATTGCTTCTAATGATCCATGTTTAATGTTCTTCAATAGCCAAACATGATGAGAATCTAAAGAAGATAGCGGAACTAAAATCATAGGACCCCATAATTCTTGTAAATTCATGGCATGTCAGTAAAAAGACATTGTAAAACATAGAGGACACTGCAATAACATATATATGCCAGAAATGAAGGTGAAAATGTGCAATGAGAGCAACATATCAAGTAGCTGCTGCAAATATACTACCCTGTCATGATACCTTTCGAGTTGCGTGCATGCATAATTGTCATCTAAAGCTATAATTCAATACAGATTCAACTGTAAAATTTCCAAAACATGTAAAAAAAATCTAGTTGTTTCAAGATATATCAGTCCCATAATCACTTCTATTCTGATGGGCTGAATATCTTTCATAAGGAGTACTACAAGTTTTGATTAAGAAGAAAGAAAGAAAATTAGATGGTTTTGGTTCAAAATTAATATTGAATATCCATATCCTTGATATGCAGTTCCAGAAACATAAAAATTTCAACAAAAAACACACAATTCTCCCACCATTTTTTCTTTGTAAATAAAAAGTTGAAAGACAGAGTACTGCTTAGGTTTACAATTTTACATGGCGGAAACTGAAGAACAAAAACCAAACGAGAGTGCATGTGAGCGAAAGAGACAGAGAGGTGAATGTGTTGTTTGGGATTTCATTATATTTGATCATTTGTTGGAAAATCTTTAACCACAAGGATTAAACGAAGAAATTATTATATGCCATTTATAAAAAATAATTCCAGCTTTGTTGGTGACTTTCAACAATGATACTTAGTTCATCTTAGTAGTATTTGTCAACTCTGCATTTCTAACCCCATTTTTTTCTCACAAGCATTTCATCGAACATCTATGCTTCACCTGAGATGACCTGTATCTAACATTACACCTTGAATCGTTGATGGTTCCGATAGTCCATTGGTCGGGTCTTCTCTCAATTGATCCTTATTCAAGTCAACACCTTCACAGAATTCAAAGTTAGAATAGAATTTCCATGCATCCCCGACTGAAAGTTACACTAGAAATGAGAAGAGAGAAGATAAAAAGGAAAATTGAGATCGAAAATGAATTTGGGATTTAGAATGAAATTGAGGATTATGTTGCAAGTTTTAAAAGTTGGGGGACCTAAATGCAAGTGTCTAAAAAGTTCAGTGACCATATTGCAAATGGACTAAATGTTGGAGGTCTACCACGTCATCTTCTTCTAATAGTAGTGTAACGGCGTCAAACAGCCGATTACGTTGGGTACCATATTACAAACGGACTAAATATTGGAGGATTGTATTGCAAGTTTTAAAAGTTAGGGGACCTAAATATAAATTTTAAAAAAGTTCAGTGACTATTACTATACTATTATATTGTTGGGATTGAACATTGTAACGATATTAAAATCAATAATCTGATAAGTGTTTGAATTCATTTGCAATGAGAAAAATGAGATGAATATAGAACATAACAACCAAAAGGACATTAAACGAATATAAATATATATGTAAAAAATATTAAAGCCGTATATAAATTAAATAACAAAGTAACAAAATAATATTAATGTTAAGATAATTAAAAAAATTAAAGATATATTTATATTAAAAGTAAATCATTAAAAATATTTAAATTATATTTATAAAATATTAATATCTATATCATTATGTTAAATAATAATAAAAATATTATTTATATTAATTAATAATTTAAATATTATAATTTTTATTAACAAAATACATCAATATAATTTATATTTAATATTTAAACTATAACAATAATATAAAATTAATAAAATAGTTGTAAAATAAATGAGGTAAAAATGAAAATTACCTACTTATAAGATAATTGAAATTTTAACAAACAAATAAAAATGTTAAAATTATTAAATGTTGATAAATAGTTTTATATGTGCATATGTATTGCTTTGACAATATTCAAATAACACTACCAACACGTGTTTGTCTAGTGAGATGAGGTACTAGATCCCTTGAGCAAGGTCAGGAGTTCGAATATTGGCGATTGCAAATGGAACAAACGGAGTTGGGAGGGTCACCTTTGCCTCCGCAATACCCAATATGAATTAATCGATCAATAGATCGAATACCGATGGTTGTACTAAAAAAGCATTGAAGATCATTAAATCAAAATAACCACCTGATGTTAAATGATTCATAAATCTGGTTGTGTTTAGAAACTCATTAACTAATTACCTTTGAATATGATTCTTTGTAAATTACAATTACAACATGTTTGCTTAACTATGGTAATGGAAGGCATGGTTAAAATATTTACACAAAATAAAACATAATGACTTTCAAAGTGGTCTCTTTAGATGCATTTGGTTTTAGCATTTGAGTTTATAAGGTATATATATATATATATTGTCAATTGATTAAGAATGTTCCAAACAAATATAATCACCTCTGATGGCTTTCAAACTCTTTTATTTATTGTTTAAACCATTTGTAAACAACGCAATATAAAATCTAAGCCTAAAACCAAAAGGTCATGTACCCAGCATTGAGATGTATGCCTCAACAAGACTGGCGTATGAAGCTACCAGACTTTAACCAATTCAAATTCAAAAACAAGCCACGGGTTTGGTGGAATACTCTCACTTGTTCCTTCCTTTGTACATCTGCAACAAAAACCAAACTCAAGACCATACAAAAGTACAGAGTCGAGCTTGGAGTAGGATTTCCACATACCTCACCCACGGTGGAACTGTGAGTCTACGTTTGCCACCAACTTGCATGCCTACCAATCATCATTATTTAAATCATTACATATATAATTCAAACCCCAATAACTTAGTGATAAGCAACTTCAAAAGACATGTTCATACCATCAATGCCAACCTTCCATGTCTCTTGAACTTGTCCCTCAACTGTGATAGCAACAAAGATACAAGTCCAACTCAAAAGGTTTAAAACCAAATATATTTGCAGAAGAATCTAATTTGATCAAACTAACATTGAACACAACAATATATTTACAGAGCATGATTAAGAAAAGATGTTACCTAGTCGGAATGTTAAGTGACCTTTGTCAGCACTTGAATCAATTACTTCCCACTGTCCTTCAACTTTACGGTGTAATGGACGCGGACCTGATAGCAACAAAACTTTGTGAATAATTTATCACCAAAGGGGGAAAATACCAATTCCTTTCATCCAATGAAACCCCAGGGATAAAATACTACATGCCTTTTTACCAAGAAGCTATTTTCCCATTTGGTTTTCCCTTTTCTAACTCTTCAATCATAATTCCATTCGACAGCTGAATTTCCTGGTCATTAGTATTCTTGTCATTCAAGTCAACAGATTGCTCCTTTTCAGGGGCTGGTGGTTCCATCTTCGTACCATCCTGCTCTCCCTCATCCTTGAATCTTTTCTTATTTTTCCTCTTCTTAGAATGACTTCAAGAAAAGAAAAACAAAGTGAACATCACACATTTAAGACTGAAATTGAGGAAAAAGGATAAACACCTACTTATCATTAACATGAGTTTGGGTTTCCTTATCCTCCATAAGTACATCCTCGATCACGGAATTTAAATTCGAACCATTTTTCGAGACCTCATCCCCTTTGGTATCATTGTCTTCAAAGTGTTCCTTTCTTTTCCGAATTAGCTTAGCTCCATCGACAGTACCCACTTCACTGGGTGTCAACAACGGATTATCAGATTGACATATCCTGCAGTATATCAGATAGCAGTTGTTATTAACAAGACAATTGCTACAAATGACACAACTAAGTCAAAAAACATGGAAGAACATATTTCATGCAACATATAATTCTCTAAAGAGAGTATATCACGGACTCATTACTGGCCAGCTTTTGATTTTGGTCATTTTGCTCCAATACCACTTTTTCAACCACACAATGATCAGCTTCCGGTAATCTTTCCTCCCTTACCAGCTCTTCAAGCTTATCCACATTCCTAATCCCTGATTTACTGCAAGCAAGAAGGAATAGAAAAAAGTACAACACGATCAAATGTAATTCAAAAACAATGATTGAAGAAGCAAACAGCCATATTTTAAACAGATGATAGTTTGCACCCGCAGATCCTCTTCTCAATATGGTTAGCTATTGAATTTAAGTTCATTGTTGTTCTTGTCAAAGAAATACAGCAATCGTACCATTCAAGTTGAACACCATTAATTCCTTCTAACATGGTAGCATTATCTTCAATCTCATTATTGTTATGGTTACCAGTTTCTTTCCTAGATTCTCCTCCTATATCGTCTTTTCCGCTCTTTGATGCGCATTTTCCTGAAAACAGTGAGGAAATAGGCAATGCATTTTCAGTTTCACTGTCAAATAGTTCCCTAGGAGAAACACCATTGATGAAATCCTTTTGCTGATAATTTCCATTATCAGATTCACTTTTCTGGTACTTTTTCCCAAGCCTCCTACGCTTTCCTATGCGACCCTTAAACTTTAAGCCCCGCATTTCTTCATTTGCTGAATTCATACACAAAAAAAAAAGACATTTAAATTAGAAAGAAAATAATTTCAGATGTAATCTAACCAGAATCAATGATGATTATTGTTCCCTTGTAACAAAAAAGGCTAAATTTAATGGACAAATGGTCAAAATTTCCATGTAAGAGGTGTGGTGAAACATACATCCAAACCCAGCAGGAGATTCTTCAGAAGATGAGAAGACTTGTGGATCATCATCATCGTCAATAAAACTACCGCCATACTCACTTTTTTCACTACTCTTGACACGTTCTGTTTCGGTGTCTGCAATATCTTCTCCATAGGGTTCTCTAAGCAACATTGTGAAGGGAAACGACAGGAAAGAACCCAATAACACGAAGTAAATCTCAAAAACTTAAAAACAAAAGGATACGATCCATCACTGTGATAACGATCAAGGGAAGAAGAGCCCAGATAGTAACCAGTAAGATGAACAGCTCGAGGGCCAATAACGGAGAAAACGACTTCAACAGATTCCTCGAATTCCAAATTGAGTTGACAACACTCTGCCTTATCAGGAAACAAACTACACAGAAATACCGGCTTACTATGTCCAATATTACATTTAACTATGCTTTTCTGTTCTCCACTACCCATTCCTAATGTCGCCTGACAGAACATATTGTCGTAACCGGTTTTCGTCCGGGTACGAAATATTTATTTGACGGGAAAATTGACGTGAATAAATAGTTTTTGAAAATAATTTGGGAGTCGCCATCGGCCTTTTGGGTCAGGTAGGTCGAATACCTAAAAATTATTTTTTTAAAAGAGTTTTAAGAAAAATCAATTAAAAAATGAACTGATATGCGTTTATAACCAAAAATTCGTTCTTTTTAATAATAAAAAGGATTCGTGGTCGGTTACGTTTAGGGAAGGATTAGCACCCCTACAACGCCCAAAATTGGTACTTTTTAATTATAAATTGTCTCTATTATTAAAAATTTAAAAATTCAAAATATATTTAATTTATAATCCTATTATTTCAAAATTATATAAAAAATATTTAAAAATATCGGAAAAGGACTTCTAGGTGCCTTAAGACAGCTCTTTTCTTTGATATTAATAAATATTAATTTGAATAAAATTAAATAATAATTTTTTATAATATTTAATTTTAAAATACCAGAATAGGACATCCAGTTGTATTAAGACTGCCATTTTCTTCGATATTGACAAATAAATGTTAAAATAATTTAAAAAAATATAAATTACTATTTATTATATATATATTTATGACTACATAATAATAATAAAATATTTAAATATATAAACAAGTAAAATTAAAACAATAAAAATACAATTAGAACTATATTTAAAAGCAATAAAATAAATGAAAAGATTTAAAATTAGTGACTAAATTATAGTAAAATTAAAATTAAATACCTAATTCATAATTAATCAAAATTATAGGGATTAAACATGTTATTTTCTTATTTATTAATTTAGTGACTAAAATAAAATTATATAAAATTCGGATATTAGAATAAAATAAATTAAAACATACTATTCAAATTAAAATATTAATTATTAAAATTATAGGACTAAATCTGTTATTTACCCTAAATATATTATTTTAATACAAAGGATTAAAATAAATAAAATTAAAATTAAAGATCTGAATTAAAAGGATTATAAACTTGATTTAGTGACTAAAATGTAAGGATTACAAATTCAAGGGATGGCGGACGGGATTTAACAATTAAAAATTACACAAATAGCCCTCCCCGAAACGACGTCGTTCGGGAAGGGCTATTTAAAGCCAAATCCAGCTGGCCCTTCGGGCCATATCTCATTTCTTTTTTTTATTTCTCTCTCTAACTGAGAGAGAATAAAAGATCTCCCTTCTCTCTAGCTTCCCTCATCGGAGGGAAGCCGGTCACCGGACGGCAGCCGTCTGCCGCCGTGACTCTCACCGCCGGCCACCGCATCCGGTGGCCGGAAAAATTTATTTTTACACCATTATGTAGATCGGACCGTCCTAATAACGGTTCCGATGTTCCTTTCTTTTAAAACGCTCCTAATCGGAGCAAATCTAATAAAGTACCTTCGATTTTCGAAGGTTTTGGTGATGTTTGAAGAGGTCCGGTGATTGTAGCTTCCTCGGTAAGCTTCTCTCCTCCCTTTTCTTTTGTTTTTGGTTGCTGGTTGTTGTGAGTTGTTCTCTATTTTTGTATCTTTTCTCTCGGTTTCTGTCTCTCTCCGTCTGTTTTTTTTTTCTTTGCAGATGGGGTGATGGTTTTATAGCCATCACCGGTGTGGCCATCGGACCGGGTAAAAGAGTACCCTTCGGTGAGTCACCGGACTCCCAGTAGTGACTCACCCTATGGCCATAACGTGGATGGCTGGCGTTGGAACTTCTGGAGCCTTCGGTTGGGGCGTGGCAGCGGCTGGAGCGACGTGGAGCGGCGGCAGCTGGTGTAGTCCCTAGGGTATCATAACCCTAGGGTTTCGTCTGGCACCATCTAGACCGTTGGATCTAAGTTAGATCCAACGGCTGAGAAGCAAAGCGGCGGCTGGCTGAGATATAAACCCTAAATGGGTTTTAGGGTTTTTTTGTTTTGTTTGGGCCAGTATGTTGGGCCTCGATTTGGGTTTTGTAATATTAATAAATAATATATAATAATAATAATAATAATAATAATAATTATAATTATAATAAATAATAATAAAAATGGGTAAAAAATTTAATATCTTCAGCTGCCCCTCTTTGCTCATTCTTGTGTTGACAAGAATAGGGCAAAGACGAAAAGATAAATTTTTTTTATCCATTTAGCTCCACTTGATTATGATGGAGATGTTGAATAAATTTTTCTCTTTCTTTAGATGAGTTCTTCTCATTATGAACTTTCTGCTGGGGATGATGTGGACCTATTTCCTTCTGTGATAGAGTCATTCAAAATGTTAAATAAGCTCTTCTCATTATGAACTTCTTCTTTCTCCTTCAGATGAGTTCTTCTCATTATGAACACTTCTGGAAAGGTTTATGCTAATCTATCTGCTTATGTGATAGAATTATGCAAAAGGTTGAACAAGCTCTTCTCATTGTGAACTTCTTCTTCCTCTTCATATAAGTTCTTCTCATTATGAACTTTCTCTGGAAAAGTTGGTGCCGATATATCTCCTTCTGTGATAGCGTCGAGCAAAAGATTAAACAAGTTATTCTCATTATGAACTTCTTCTTCCTTCTTCAGATGAGTTCTTCTCATTATGAACACTTCTGGCAAATGTTGATCCATCAAGAGATGAATTCGAGCAAAAAGTTGAACAAGTTCTTCTCATTATGAACTTCTTCTTCCTTCTTCAGATGAGTTCTTCTCATTATGAACTTTACCTAGAAAAGTTGATGCCGATCTATCTCCTTCTGTGATAGCGTCGAGCAAAAGGTTAAACAAATTCTTCTCATTATGAACTTCTTCTTCCTTCTTCAGATGAGTTCTTCTCATTATGAACACTTCTGGCAAATGTTTATCCATCAAGAGATGAATTCGAGCAAAAAGTTGAACAAGTTCTTCTCATTATGAACTTCTTCTTCCTTCTTCATATGAGTTCTTCTCATTATGAACTCGATCTAGCAATGCTGATCCATTGAATGATGGATTTAAATCTTTTCTAAAATCTTTGAAATTCCTGTTAAAAATTCAACATGGATGAAAATGAATGAAAATGCACCTATTTTTGCAAAACACCTAAATATGATGCATGAATGTTAAGTTATTTGATTTCAGATTGGTGAATTGAGTATTTCTTCAGTTGTAAAAACCCAATAGATCTTTCTTCTTCAAATCAGAGAATCTATCATCTTTGACAAATGTAGATGTAGATATAATGTCACAAAACCTCTTGAGAATAAAACTCAATAGTATAGACTCTTGAAAAGCTTGCATTCATGCAACATGTTGATTCTGATAACAACTCATCTGATTATGAAGTGACCTTTCAAGATGATTTCACAGATATAGATAGTTCTTTTAATACCGAGAAATCTTGTTTTCTGATTCTGATAACAACTAATCTGATTATGAAGTGACCTTTCAAGATGATTTCACAGATATCGATAGTTCTTTTAATACCGAGAAATCTTGAATTCTGATTCTGATGAGGAGAATAAACTGTTATACTTGACAAAAATGGGATTCTCAGAGGCTGAAGCTTCAATAGCCATGGAGAGATGTGGTCCAGATTCATCAATTGCAAAATTGACAAATTTTATATGTGCTGCTCAAATGGCTAAGGTTACTGACACATTTCTTCCGGTAAAAGATGGGAAGCCATTATGCAATGATCCCAATTACAAGAAAAGGCGAAACTTGGGCTATGATTTTTGGGAAAGGAATAAACAAAAGAAGCTTGAAAAGAAACTTCTTAATGAAGATGATCATGCAATTCATCTTTTAATTCCAATGATTGGTTCTGGGTTTTATATCAAACCAAATTAGAGAACTCAAAGAACACTTCCATAAGATGCTATTAGCACATTCCTCTTCCAAATTCAATAATTGGTTCTGTGGTTCATACCAAACCAGATCAGATAACTCAAAGAACACTTCCAGAAGATGCTATGAGCACATTCCTCTTCCAAATTCAATGATTGATTTTACCAAACCAAATCAGATAACTCAAAGAACACTTCCAGAAGATGCTATGAGCACATTCCTCTTCCAAATTCAATGATTGATTTTACCAAACCAGATCAGATAACTCAAAGAACACTTCCAGAAGATGCTATGAGCACATTCCTCTTCAAAATTAATGACTGGTTCTACTAAACCAGATCAGATAACTCAAAGAACACTTCCAGAAGATGCTATGAGCACATGGCATTTGTTCTAGTTAATGTTTGGACTGGGATATCACAGTACTTATTCGATGTAGAGCCAGAATTTGTAGATTCGAAGCATTTTCATGCTACTACACTGAAAAGGGCTATATTCATAATTCTGCCAATTAAGAACAGATTTTCTCTTATTCTGCTTCCTCCATGTGCTGATGATTTTCCATTGACAAAGAAATGATGGCCTTCCTGGGATCCAAGAACAAAGTTGAACTGTTTATAAACATGTACAGGAAGTGCCAAATTGACAGAAAGGATCTGTAAGGCTCTTGAAGCTTATGACAATGAGTCACATTCGAGTGTCCAGAAGTATGTTCTTGATGAGTGCTGAAAATGGAATCTAGTATGGGTTGGAAGGAATAAAGTTGCTCCACTTGAACCTGATGAGGCGGAAATGCTTCTAGGTTTCCTTAAAAACCATACACGAGGAGGAGGATCTGCTAGAGATATGTTCCCCAGTGATATCAATGTCCTGTTTCTTTTTGCTGGAATCAGTGCTGCAGAGGTCGCCTTCTACTGTCTTAGCATATCTTTGAAAATAGATGTGCAAGAACTGAATGATGATCGGTTGGAGCAATTGATGAGTAGATTTGGCGGATTTGACCTTGTTGTCGGTAGCATCCCGTGTAACAATCTTGATGGAAGCAATAAACATCATCATGATGAACTAGAAGATTTTTGTTGGTACATTTTCTTGCAATGAATGCTACGACAGTTGTCTCTTCTGCTGTTCCAATATATCCCACTCTTTTCGAATTATGGAACGATTTA